ACCTGTTGTCAAATTCAAACCAAATGAAATTGAAATTCATTTAAAAGTAAGTTCATCGATGATTTTTTTTTTGCTAAAGAGCTAAAATGGAATTTTCTTTCAAGGAACCAAAAATACTTGGATTAATGAAGAAAGATCAACCGCATGAAATATCAGTTCCCTATCGAAATACAGGCGAAGCTCGAGTATGTCATTTCTCTTTAGTCATCGATTTATTTCTTTCTCTCTTTTTCTTCACTAGTATGTCGTCGATAAAATCACCCAAATTATGCGTGCTAAGGAACTTTAATTTGATTACTTCTTTTTTTTCCTTTGATTTCAAGAATGTTTTTTCATGATGTTGTCGTTTCTTATCACTTTTTTTTTGGACATATGTATTCAATGACTCTATTGTTAACGCTATCGATAGCACAGATATTTGTTTTATTCCTGCATATGGTATATTTACTCTAGCTTAATAATCAGAAATAGATGTAATGATTAAACTTGAAGTAACTCTTTCTTTTATGTTGGTTATATCATTTAATGCAAAACCGTTTGGTGATATACTCTCATAGAGTGTTGGTATGAATGTGGGCTTGAAACGATTTTCTCCAATCACACCCACATCCTGATAAAATACGAATCGTATTATTGGGTCAAATTTGATAGATATATACAGACTGTTTGAGATACTTATTGACACGTTTTACGATCGTAAACTAGCCATTTTTTCATCGTTTACTGCCTGTAAATGATATCTATTTTGACCGACTTGAGTCAAGTTAGTTCTAGAATGCTACACTAAAAGCAGATATTATTATTACAAAAAACTAAATAATTATGCAGAAAACAGAGATATAGACGATAGTTTTAATAAAGATGTATTTTGATTTTGTCAGTCAAATCCAATTTGACAAATACAATGATTTTTATTTGTAATTTCAAGAATTTTTGCCATTAAATCGGATGCATTTACTGGAGTTGAACTATTTTTGTTTATACCAGATTCTTTTAGAGAAATTTGTTTTAAATGCGGATGGGTCTCGACAAAAGTAAGTAATGTAGGTAAACTTTTATCACTGATTTGATTACTTGTAGATTCTAATTGAGACAATGAATTTGGTAATGAAGAGAGAATTGCTTGAAAACCAATATCACCAATTTCACATCCATCTATTGTGAAACTTTGTAGAACTTGATTGTTCTTTAAATAATTGGCCAACATGATGCAATCTTCATCACTAAGCGAATTCTGTAACAGTTTGACATGTTTGATTTTGTTATTGTTTTCAAGAAGTTTACCTAACTCGTTAAGAGTTTTGAAATCTATTCCCATGATTTCTAATTCGTTGATAGAATTGTTTTCTTTCAGCATTCGCAATATTTCCATTTGCATTGATTTATCCGTAAGCCAATCGATAATTATCAAACTTGTCAATCGACACTGTTTACCAAAGATCGTTTCAAGATAATTCAAATGATTTCGATTAAATTTGTCAAAAAGACGCAAATTCATTTTCCGATAAGTCGTATCATCTTTGGTTAATTCCGTAACCATCAAGGACCAACCAGTATCATCCATTTGATCTATTTGTAATCCGAAATAGTCTTCCTTACGCAAAAATATTCCTGCCAGACTACTATTCGATACGATTTTAACTGTCGATAATGATGACGATTCTTGTTGTTGGAAATATTGAGTTGCAAGATTATCATCGAGAATTAGTTCTTTGAGATTTTCTCCATTTGATTGAAGATAAGAACGTATAGTAGAAATGTTTCCTCCTGTAATATTGTTTTCAGCTAAATCAAGATGAACGAGAGTTTTTGGCAAAGATCGTGCAAGAATTTCGAAGCCGCTATCATTAATTTTATTAATTTTGAGCCATTTGAGAGCAGTGGTTTGTAGAGAACGAGCCAACTCGACAACACATTCAGAATCCATTGGAACAGCCCCAGTTTCTCTGAAATATATAGGACAAAATAACATAGAAGAATACTCTAGTCTATGACAGATTAATCTACCCCATTGCAAGGTGATATTCATTGCAGACTCTCATTTTGAGAGAAAGCAAAGTTTGATTATTCGTCAACATATGCGAGAACGCACGCGCTGTTTCCAAATCAGACCGTGTTGAGCTTATCGATAAATATTTAATGGAACGATTGTCTTTGAGTGATTTCAATAAAACAATCAAGTGTTCATTCCCTGAATAATAACACCTATAATATGTGAAGTCGATCAATGTTTTATGAGATTCAAGAGCTTCCGTCAATTTAATAAAGCCAGATTCGATTGATTTATTGTCGGGTTTACTACCATTCCATTCTAATGTTAACTTTCGTAACGGATGCTCATTATTATTTACTTCATCGAGTACAATCTGCCAATCGGCATCCTCCATTGCGTAAATTACCAATTCTATTTCAGTACCATCTTCTATGTATTTTTTTTTGAGAGTTTTATTTCGAACCAGCTAAAGCGAAAATCAAATTTCACATCTAATCATTCTTTGAAGAAAGCCTCGATAGTTGATACTAGAAATCTACTAAATTCTTCTAAATCTTTTTGGCAAAGTGACAAGATTTGATTCATCTATACAAAGTTTGTACCCTCGATGCTTAAACATATTGCCATCATGACATGTTTTCTATCGGAATATCTTCTTTTTACATTTCGAAAGAAAAAAAATTCAACGCTTGAAATTTTCGAAAAGAACAATTTTAGTCTTAGACATGTTTCAGAAATAAAATGTACACTTCATATATAAATGGAAGCAGACGCGGAAAAATATACCTTGCTGTAATGCAGCCATCTTTCATGATCATCGTTCATATCACCTATAATAGATTCATAATTGACTGCTTCAGACAGTTGCAAATTTTACTCACTAGTCTAATAGATATTTTTCTTCTTATGCCCAAAAAAAAAGCAACGATCGCACGTTGTGACGACGAGAACGGATAGAAAAAAGTGACTATACACGTTGTAAAGCAATACCTTTTCAAACTAACCTTGCAAAGAAAAAAAAAATACAAATTCATCGAATCATGTATAGGTGAGTGTCGTCCTTGCTCTGTCGACACGTGTTCTCTCCTCGAATACTCGATAGAAAAGAACAAAATGCAAAAGAGTGATAGACAACAACAAATGGGTAGCAATATTTTTGATCACCAAAAAAAGATACTTCTGATCACCAAACATTTTTAGATACAAATGATCACTGAAAAAAGATACTTTTGATCACCAAATATCTTTAGATGCAAATGATCACCAAAACGAAAATATTTTTGATCACCAAAATTTTTAGAATATATCTCATATTTTTATTCCCTAGACTGAAAGGCTAGCGTCTAGAAACCGTAATTCACCTGTGTCTGTCTGTCTGTCTGTAACAAGGAGTTGGCACAAACGACCATTTTTATTGCATAAATTACCATTCCCATTGCACAACTGACCATTTCTATGGCATAAATGACCATTTTTATGGTACAAA